CACTCTGGCCATCTTCTTGTTCCTCACATAATTTTAGAACGCTTTGGGGTTTTCCTTAATCCTATCCATCAAGGCATTTTCATGCCCCCTTCTAGCTCTCCTAAGTCTATTCTTCATTTCCTTCCTGGCTACCTTGTAACCCTCTAGAGCCCTGTCCAATCCTTCTTCCTCTTGACTAGATGTTCCACGTGTCTTGTCATCCAAGGTTCCTTCACCTTACTATCCCTTCCTTGCCTCAGTGGGACAAACCTATCCAGTACTTGTAGCAACTGCTGCCTAAACAACCTCCACATTTCTGTCGTGCATTTCCCTGAGAATATCTGTTCCCAATTTTCACTTTGCAGTTCCTGTCTAATAGCATTGTAATTCCCCCTCCCACAACTAAATAATTTCCCATAACAGACACACTTCAACTTGTCACACTGACTGCAACTTTGCCCTATCAACTGTCTGTCCTTCCTCACAAACTCTCTGTATACTGTATCTGCCTGTACACCAGCTACCCCATCCTTTGATCTATAGCTCTGATTCCCATCCCCCTGTCAAACTAGTTTAAACCCTCCCAAAGAGCTCTAGCAAATTTTTCTACTCAATTTAGCATGTTTACGATCTGCTACACATAATTTCCTTGCCTTGTTTCCAGAAAGTCACTGATGGGTCTTCACTGTTAATGCTCCAATCAGAGTCCTCACTTCCGGCCTTGTTGTGAGATTTCTATGTCATCAAATTGTTGAGGTGATGACAATTGTAGGAGCCATAAGCTGCCATCCCTATGGATTATAATGCCTGACTGACCTGGTGAGTACATGTGTCTTTTCCCTGCCTTCACAGTTTTCTTCTTTTCCATATTTCTTTTCTGCAAGTCTTCCAAGGTCTTGAAAGTCTTCCCACTTTGTACTCAGCTGCACTTTCAAAGTCTTCTAAAGTTCTGTCCTGCCTCTGTGCTCTGTTTTGACTTCAGTTTCTTTCTCAGGAGGTTTTTAATTGCCTATCTGCCACTATGGTTCATCCTGCATCCTAAGCCAATAGTATTGACTACACGTGTTTCCAGTCTGGAGTATCTCTGGACTTTGGGTTGCTGTAGGGTTTGGGAGAGGGGCTGCACAGGGTACTCTGATGAAGTTCTGATGAAGGGTCCCGATCCAAAACATCGACTTTCCTGCTCCTCTGAAGCTGCCTGACCTGCTGTGTTCCTCCAGCTCCACACTGTGTTATCTCTGACTCCAGCATCTGCAGTTCTTGGTATCTCTGACAGGTATGAGCTGCTCTTGTAGCCACTGTCTTTATTCGGCAAGTCCAATTGATCTTTTGGTCAATGATAAATGCTAGGATGTTGACAGTGGGGGATTCAGTGATAGTAACACCCTTAAATTTCAAGAGGCAGTGGTTAGGTTGGCTCTCATTGGCAATGGTCATAGCCTGGCATTTGTACCAAAAATGTTACTTATCACTTTTCAGCCCAAGCCTGGATATTGTCAAAACCTTGCTGCTTTTGAACATGGACTTCTTCTGCATCTGAGGAGTCATGAATGGTGCTGAAAATTGTGCAATCATCAGTGAACATCCCCACTTTTGACTTTATGATGGAGGGAAGGTCATTGATGAAGCAGCTGAAGGTGGTTGGGCCTAGGACACATTCCTGACGAACTCCTGCAGAGATGACCTGGAGCTGAGATGACTGATCTTCAATAACTACAACCATCTTCCTATGTGCTAGATATGATTCCAACCAGCGGAGAGTTTGCCCCCAGTAGCCATTGATTCCAGTTTATCCAGAGCTCCTTAATGCTACATTCAAACAAATGCAGCCTTGTTATCAAGGGCTGTCACTTTCACCTCACCTCTGGAATACAGCTCTTTTTTCCATGCTTGAACCAAGGCTGTAATGATGTCAGAAGCTGAGTGGCCCTGACAGAACGCTAACTGGCTGTCTCTGAGCAGGTTAATGCAGAATAAGTGCTGCTTGATAGTACTGTTGATGATGCCATCCATCATTTTATGGATGATCAAGAGTAAACTGATGGGGCAGTAATTGGCTGGGTTGGATGTCTCCTGCTTTTTATGTATGGGACATACCTGGGCAAGTTTCTACATTGTCGGGTAGATGCCAGTGTTATAACTGTTCAGGAAGAGCTTGGCTAGGGGAATGGCAAGTTCTGGAGCACAAGTCTTCAGCCCTATTACTGGAATGGTGTGACAGCCCACAATCTTTGCAGAATCCAGTGCTTCCAGCTGTTTCTTGATGTCATGTAGAATGAATCAAATTGGCTGAAGGCAAGCATCAGTGATGCTGGGGACTGCTGGAGGTGGCCGAGGTGGATCATCCATTTGGCATTTCTGGCTGAAGGTTGCTGCAAATGTGTCACATTGTTAAGTCTAAAGGTTCTGGATAAATCAATGGCTGTCTTTGTTGTATTATTCCAGACCATAAAGGCCTGCACCTTCAAGATGACATGACTTTTCAGCATGTGGCATTCAGGTCTAAATGTCCTTTAGTCATGGAGTCAGTCAGTTTAATGGGTTCAGTCAGTCAGCTATGTGTATCCAATGTACAGTAACGTTAGTAATCACAGAACCTATACTATTTGTTAATTCTGTGATACTGTAGCTGTGTAAATAGTTAAGAGTTGTTCATAAACTTCAAGGCATGCATCATTACAAGTACCCAAAAATCTACTTTCCTAGATAACAAGGTGTAGAGCTGGATGAACACAGCAGGCCAAGCAGCATCAGAGGAGCAGGAAGGCTGACGTTTCAGGCCTAGACCCTTCTTCAGAAATCTACTTTCCTACCTTTCTTTGTCCCACCAATAAATTTGGTTTTTATAGATTTGGTTCCTTCCTCCAAGTCATTGGTACAGATTGTAAAGTATACCACGTTTATTGTTTCCCCTATGTCCATGTTACTTTTTACTCATAAATTAATCTCAAAGGATCTCTCATAAATTAAAGATGATTTCCCTTTGACAAAACCTGATTGTGTTAAGATTTAAGTGCTTTACTATAATCTCCTTAATATTAGATTTTAGCAATTTCCCCAATGATGGATGGTAGGCTGACTTGCCTAGAGTTATCCATGTTCTATCCCCCTCCTTTCTTGAATAATAGTTACATTTAATCTGATAGAAATTCTAGTCTGATAGAAATATTCTAGAATCAAGGGAATTTTGGAAATTTACAATCAACGCATCTACTATCTCTGCAGCCACTTCTTTCAAGAACCTTGGATGAAATCCATTAGATCCTGGAGACTTGTCAACTTTTCATTAACATGGAGAGGTTATGGCCTAGAGACCAGACTATTAATTCAGGTAATGTTCTGAGGACCCAGGTTCGAATCCTGTTATGGCAGATGGTGGAAAATGAATTTGACAAAACCACTGCCAATTGTCAGGAAAAAGCAATCAGGTGTTGTAACTAAAAGAAAAAAATGACTTGTTGATGGACAGGGTGGTGAAGTGGAACGACTATATAAAAATAGGGTACTATGCAAAATATGTCTTCAGGATCAGACAGAACTATGTAATTGCATAATTTATAAACAATTGTAGCGACAGCTGTTAATAAATCATACAGTATTATTAGCATTTTTAAAATTTATTCATGGAATGTTGGTGTTGCTGGCCAGGCCATGATTTATTGCCTATCCCTAATTACCCAGAGGGAAGATAAGAGTCAACCATATTGCCATGGGTCTGGAGTCACATGTGAGTCAGATCAGATAAGGATGGCACTTTACTTTTTCAATATCTCTATCAAATATTCTCTCCACTCTTCTAAAAAGACAACATCATCAATTCATCCCTGTAAATGAGCTCTCTCATCTTTGCAAAAAATTCTCAGATGCCTTTCCAGCACCCTATGGCCTTCCTAAAAGATTCTAAGGATTGGAGACAATACTCCAACTGAAGCTGAAACAATATTTTCTAAATCTTAATTTCTTTGTTTTGTACTATTTATAAAATCTAGGATCCTGAAAGATTCAATAACCATTTTTAAAAGTTGTCCTACAACTATCACTGAGCACACATAATCCCAGGTCTCTCAGTTCTGTTTTTGCATGGCTGTGGTGAAAATTCACCCATTTTAATACACACCTATTTGTTGCACTGTTGGCTGACTAATCCATTTTATTTTTAATGTCACAATTCTGCTTTTGTTCAACTGGCAGAACATCAAATATACTTAATCGCATGATTTAAATTGTTATCGTTTCCTAAAGAAGTGAATCAATTTTTCAATGGAGTCTCGCTTCATTAACTGTCCTGAATTCTTTGAGAGTTCGCAAATCATTGAAGGATGGCTTCTGGTAATTGATACATAAAGTACTTTGGTTTCCAGAAAACCTTTAATGAAGTATCATATGCCATGAATTTTTCCAATAATGTGCTTTATGAGATTAGTAGTCAGAAACTGTCCTGGATAGGTAACCTTTACGCAGAGGGCTATCAGTAAGTGAATTTGGTCTATGTTGCACAAGGTCAAGACTGGAGTTTCAAAGGGTTGAACATTGAGGCCAAGGTCTACCATAAATGATGCTGTCGACAACATTTGCTGATACAAATAAATAAAATGTTCTTGGAGATTTAGGTTAAGTACAAATTTGGAGATATTAGAGCCTGGGTCCAAGTGCGGTAGTGAGCATTCAATGGAAATAAATCCAATTAACCTTGATCAGGGTGACTCAAAATCTGTTTATACAGCACAGCAGTAACCATTAAAGGTTACAGAGATGAGGAACTTTACAAAAGGTCCACTTTGACACGTGGGGAGGCAAAGAATATTTTAGGCTATGTACAATTAGGTAAATATTGCATAAACTAAGAAATGGGTTATATAATTATCTAGGGAAATTTGAGAACATTTCTCAGCCCTTTTCCTAAATTGGCTGTAGATTTTTTTTTCTTTCCCCACTTTGGTTGGATAGGGTGTTATGCATGTAGCAGAAGGTCTGTTGATTGTTGTTTGATTTATTATAAACTGAAAATTAAACACATCATATGCTAAAAAGACTATGTTTTATTTTTCATGGAAACCAGCACAGAATGTTTACGTTTATGCCTTAAGATATGGCTAGAAAGTTGACTTGAAGTTGAGCGTGGTGAATTGTAAGGGGCCTCAATCTCTTGCTGTGTCAATGGCCAAATAAGTCCTTTTAATAAAGGCTCAAGTACTAACTGGCACAAGTTATAGATTACAACTGATGGATAAACAACCATAATTTACTACTGTAAATTCACAATCCCATCTTCCAATCCTCACTGCAGACAGCAACACATTAATATAAACAGAAATATTTAAATTTCAAAAATCAAGGAGGAAAAATAATAAATAGACTATTAACCATTGCTTTTCACAACATCTCACTTTGAAATGGACAGGAATACTTCCTTCTTTAACACGTTCCCAGACTGGGGTATTGGCCAGGATTAAGCTGAAAACAGATCAGACATGCAGTATACATAATGCACGGTGCAGAACCAAATCTGAAGTTTAGATTTTGATGTGAACAAACCTAACATGGAAATCTTTGTTCACCTACACACAAATAGGACATATTAATTCCCTTTTAGCTGACAATCTCAATCACTACGTCTGTAATATGAAAAAGTCAGTTTTGTGCTAATGATTGTTATGCATAAAACTGATTCCATTCCTAGTTCGTATTGCAAAGTAACTCCACTAAGTTCATAGACCTCTGAACAAAACACATCTGTCCCATAGACTGGACATTGAGTGAATTTGGTTTATCAGGAGTGACAGAACTGGTTAAAACAACGTTTGCTGTAATTAACATGTTCATAACGTTAATGTTTAATATACTCCAAATTCTGGAATTCTTTTGCTAACTATCTCCTCCTTCCTATTCTCCTTTTAAGACGTCCCTTAAAGCCTACTTCGTTGAGCAAGACTTTGGACATCGACCTAAAAAACTCATTCTGTGAATCAATGTTAAATTTTCCTCTATAATTCACCTGCAAGGCACCTCTAGATGTTTTATTATGTTTAAAGTAATATATAAATGCAAATTGATTCCCAGGAGGATAAGCAATATAATAGGGTTGAAAGGTCACAGCTGATGATGTTATTTCACCTAAATGGATTATAGAATCAACTTAATCATATTACAATATGCAGTTTTGCAGTGATTTTGACAGTATAATGTAGATGTTTCAGAGAAGAAATATTTCTAACCAAACACTAGTTTCAGTGGGATTCAAAGATTTATTCTGGTAAGTGATTTACGGTTTGCTGATACCCTGGATAGAAAACCAGAAGTTACATTTTGTCTTGATGAGCCGCTGCCTGCAGACATTATATTTCCCTCATCAAGGTTGATCAAATGGCTCACTATATGACATTCACGTTTTTATAAACAGTAGTTTTGTAAACTGATCTTCATCATTCTCCAATTATTTCACAGTTAGGAGGACTTTTTCTCTAGTCCAAGTACTCCTCCAATCAGGTAATGACTTTGATCAATCCAGTTTCAAAAATGCTACCTGCAAGAGGAGGAGAGAAAATATTAAGCATGAGGCATCTTCATATCTACTGATCTAAACAGCTGAAGTAAGTAAGAGGACAAACACAGGCTGGAATATACTTTCTTCTACTGGGTAGTGTTAAGGTGGCGTGGGAGGTGAAGATGAGGATGGGGTGGGGAATGAAGGTAAGGATGGTGTTTGCGGGGGGAGATAAAAAAGG